TATATCAGTATTGTACAAGCGCTGAATTTTTTACAGTTTTTAGCTACAAATATAAATAAATGTACACAGTATCTGAAATGTCAGTTTAGACCAGGAGAGCCCAAGAGATAAATCCCCAGATATTGTTGAACTGCAACTCTCATGATGCTTTGCATGCCTTTAGAATGACAAAGCAAGAAGCTGTAGTTTTAAAATATCTGGGGATGTACCTTTTGGGCACCCCTGATTTAGACACACACACATGTACACTGCAAAGGCAATATGGAATATTATAGGTTAATTAAACACCTATTGCTTATTAGCATCATCAATGTAATTGGCTGTCTATAATCCTAGCGTGAGATGTATAAAAAAAAATTGAAGGTGACTGTTTTTGGTGCAAACTTCAAAATATTGCTTTAACAAGCTCGACATTGTGAGATATTATTAGAAATAATCTTGAGTTACACTTGAGCTAAAGGCAATAGCTTTTTATGAGTTTGGTGGCATTAGGAGCAATAAAAATGGTCCTAAAATGGAATTATCACTTTAAAAACACAATTCTGGCTGAAAGTCATAAAGCATTATTAATCAGTTGCCAAAGTTGGATTGTGATTTACCTCCTTGCAAGCAGCTTCAAATATTACAGCATATCATTTATATGCAAGTTACATTGTGTACATTTTAATATATTTATTAGGATTTAATAGGAAATCTGGAACGTTAAATTGATGTGCTGGTCAAATGAATATGGATATATCTTTCGAAAGTGTTTAAACCATCTTGTGGGCATGATGACCAAATGTTGAGATGTGAAGTATATAATTATATCACACTATATCAAACTGTGAAGGGAATATACTTGCCATCTGCTGGTGATATATAATCTAATCTTGATGAATTAATGCTCCTACGATATCGCTATATAGAATGTTATGCTAATTATTCTTCTTTACATTAATTACGTCAATTTAGGAGGTGGTATGAATAAAATCAAGAAAGACAAAAGCTAGAGGGAGTGAAACAGGAGACTTAAAATTATTCCCAAACATACACTGTGTGAATCGGGTAGTGAATCTGTAAATTGCCAGTTAGCAAAATATTAAGCACATTGAAAATTAGTATTATTTATCACTCACAAATTACCGTTCCAGCTGACAAGTGTGAAACTCACTTGTATGCCATCCTGGGTTTCTAATTACCAGCAGGATAGTACACAGGTACTCTACGTATCCCTATTACAAAGTAAATTTACAAAAAAAATATTCTTTATTTATGCACATGAGTTGCAATCATGACAACAAAGATAGGCTAATCATAACCACACAAATGTTTATCGTAACATGGTGTAATGGATCAATATGTTGTTTAGGTTTGCTCTCCATCAGTTCTGTTTTGTCTGATCTAATTGATCGTACTGGTTTTGACTGCTGGGCTTTTCAAATGAATTCTGTATGAAATCGCCTTTTGCACATATAGTGGCCACTAAATAATTTAAGATATTCTGGCTTGGCATATCTAGTCAAAGCCTGTAAATGTTAGACCAGTTTTTTTTTTTTTCTTAACTAGTTTATGCAGTTAGGGCGTACCATGCCCCCTACATGATATGGGCTTAAATGCTGCTAGGGCGGCGCGGTACGCCCTAATGATCGTGAGCCCTCTTGGAAAATTGTACTAACTTACTGCGGTGATCCAAGTGGTTCCTGACAACCCAGGCAGTCCCCCTGCAGTAAGACCGGCCCTTATGGGCATGTAATTGCGATGATGTTGCAATCACATGGCCAGTTTAGCAGTCTGCACAATCTGATAATCCCACCTATGCAATTTATACTGATATTCCCCTAGTTAGGACCCATTTAAAAGAGCATTCATATTTTTTATCCTTCTGGTTTTAAATCAGGTCCTATTGAAGTATGAAAAAAACCTGTTTTAAATAACCTCGACAAAATAAAAAAACATAAATATGATCATCAAAATTTGTCATGTCAAGAATGGTTGGCATTAAAGGAACTACAGGAAGAAGACAACATTATAATGAAGCTGACTGATAAAGGCAGTGGTTTGGTAACACTGTACAAAGCCATGTGCATTAATGATGCCATTTGACAACTCCGTGATACAGAGCTATATGAGAAATTAGCCTCTGACCAATTCTCCACTATCAAACAAAGCTTGTATGAATTTCTAGACTTGAAAATCCTAAGTAAAAAAGAATACAGTTTTTTAAATGTAGCTCACCCAATAATCCCAGTAATTATTTTTTTACCCAAATTAAATATAAAGGAAAAAAATACCCCAGGAAATTTGATTGTCTCAGGAATTAACTCCATTCTGTCTAATCTGTCAGAATATATAGATATTCTTTTACAACCATCAGTTAAACTTATTAAATCATACCTTAATGATTATAAGACACTCCTACAATTTTAAAACAATTTTACTCGGCAATCTGAATACATTTTAGTAACTTGTGAAGTACAATCATTATATACAATTATGCCCCATGACAAAGTTTGTGAAGCAGTTACAAAGCTTTCAAGAGCAGAAAGTAGGATTAGTAAAGAGCAAATCCATTTTATTATATAAGGGATTAAAATATTTTAACTAACAACTATTTTTGGTATTTAGATTCCTTTATATATACACAAAAGAGAGGTACAGCTATAAGGACTAGGTTTGCCACCAGCTTTGCTAACCTCTTTATGGCTGTTTGGGAATCTGCAGCCATTTGAGGGGGAGCATGCGTGGCAGGCGAACCTGGTCACCTATTTCTGATACACAGACAATTTGTTTTTTTATTTGAGACAGTCCTGAAGAGTCTCTACATTCATTTTATCCTCTGAATACAGTAGAATATCCATACATTTTTTAAAACTATAACATTTTATCCAAGATGGCAACATCAATACCAAAAGCCATTTTAAAAAAAAGTTTGCACAAATACAATAATTGATCAATCAAGCTGCCATTATGGACCCTTGTTAGAAGAGGTCACCAAAAATCAATTCTTGCATCCTTCCAAAAACTGCTTCAAAGAACAAGCTCAGAAGTTAAAAAATACATTTATTTAAAAATTAATTACCCTAGTTTTAAATCCATCCTCACAAAAAAATTATACAAGAAATTGTGGAAATAATAATTTGTCATTTTTATTGGAATCTAAGTTTCTTTTTAAAATGTAAGAGACGTACACTGTGCCAAACTACAGATTTCACGGTACATTCTAAAACCATGCGTTTTATATCAAATAATATGGGTAAATCCTATCCAATAAAATATCTTATCTGTTGCAACAATAAAAATGTCATGTCATTTTTTTTATTTATTTTTTTGTAATTCTTTATTTTAGTGTGCAGGTTCAACATAATGTCCACATAGCCACAACAGCTTATGTAGTCATACTTTGCAACATATGTTAGTACAGTAGCGGCATATATATATACATAGCACTTTTTATGTATTAATTGTGTAGTTACGGTGTCGTCTATCGTTTCGGGCATGTCCAAGACCTGGTGGGGTCTGTGGGTATGTCAACTTAGTGATTGTCTTGGACATGGGTTATGTCGTGTGGGCCCGTGTCTAGACCAGCTATGGATGCATATTTTGAGTCTATGGCATGAAGTCTGTGACATGGAGTCCGTGAGAGCCCCCCACTGTGGATGTACATTAAAACACCAGTGTGCGAGGGTGGGTCTTTACATGGATGGAGTCCCCTAGGATTGGTGTATGTACTACCTCAGAGATACCCTCTTGTCACCATGGACATGTTGTTAACCGTGTCTTCTATGTTCGTGTGAGGAGGTGAGTTAGGTGTAGGTGAGGTCAGTAATGCCTCCAATTGTGGGAGCTTGCGTCCCCGATATAGGGTGCAGTGAGTACAGCTGCCAATGTGCCTCGGGTGTATGAAGTCTGCTCCTGGGAGACCTATATAGATTTTGTGAACTGTTAAAGGGTTAATTGTTAAAAACCAAAAATATATGGGGAGGAGGAACTTGGGTGTTGATTAAGTTTAAGTTCGTAAGAGAGCGGTGTGGGTTCGTCTTGGGCTGAAGGCCCTGTCCCGGAGAGTGCTTTATCGGCAGTCTCTGGTGTATTGGGGAGGAACCTTCCTGGTACACTGTCCCTCAGGGTGTCTGTCGCTGGCGCGGTGGTCGGGTGGTAGCCCCTGGGATGAAGTCAGCGACCGCAGCTGGGTCCAGTTGGGTGAGGTCTAAGCTTTCCTGTGGGGGTGACAGTAGGCCTGCCGTGCGCAGTTGTGAGTCCAGTTCAGGGTAGCTCTGAGCTCGGTAAGTGGTATCCTGATGCGTGAAGGTAATCATGTTCGGCGTTCCCCATTTATACTGGATGCTCTTGTTCCTGAGGTGTTGTAAGAGGGGCTGCATGGTCTTGCGCCAACCCATAGTGCTTTTTGTTAGGTCCAGAAAGAGGGACAACGTGGCTCCCTCGAATGTTAGAGGGGTTTTCCCCCGCGCGGCTGCCAAAAGCTGGGCTTTGTCTTGCAGATTTTGAAAGCGGAGGATTAGGTCTGTGTGTGCCGCGGCTGGCGCTGTTGCGGGCCTTGGCAGTCTGAACATACCATCTAGTCGCACTGCTTTTGCTTGTTTGGGCGGCAGTAGATCGGCCAGTAGGCGCCTAATGAAGTGCGGTAGGTCTGTCTGGCCTATTGAATCCGGTATGCCACGGATCTTGATATTATAGCGTCGTCTGAGGTCCTCAAGGGTGTTTACCCGGTTGCTTGCTATGCTTTGCTGGGATTGCACCTCAGTTAGTGCTTGTTCCAGGGACGCTATCCTTGCCTCTTGGGAGGAAGTTGAGGCCTCCAGTCGCTGTACCCTGGTAGTGACCCCCTCCACTGCTTCTTTTATACCGGCCATGTCTGCTGCTATATTGGATCTAAGCTCTGCCAGCATGCTCTTGAGAATAGAGGCTGTGACAGGATCCTCTGCAGTTGCTTGTGGGCGCTTTGGGTTGGGTGGTGGGGCTTGCGCCATACCTTCTCTGGGGTCTATAGAGAAATCATCGGAGGAGAGTGAGTAGTCGTCGTCTCCCGCCGCCATCTTGTCCCATGCGGCTTTTTGCGACCGTAGGAGCAGTTCCCCGATATCGTGGGTAGCCGGGTCTTTATCTGCTCTGGTTTTTTTGTGCTTGCGACCCATGGCTAGTCTTGTGCCGGGTGTGGGTGTTTGAGCCCGGGTATTCTCCGGATTGCGCCTGATATAAGGCTTCGTTTGCGGTCCGTATCGGAGAGCTCTTGGAGAGTGCGACCGCTCTGCTCCGCTGCTAGCTCCGCCCCCATGTCATGTCATTTATTTGTCAGAGTGCTCATGTTGCCTACAATATGTAGGCATTACCTCTAGATGTTTGAAAATAAGATTGGTTGGACATTGCCGTAACATAACTAGGGGTTATCTGAATCATTGTGTATGGAAACATTTTATTAAACATAACAAAAACCTTAAGATTTTAAAATGCATAGGTATTGAAAAATGTAAAATCCCTTGGAGAGGCAGGGATAGTAAAAAAAATCCATGGCAGAAAGGATGTGCACTGGGTATTTAATCTGAAAACCATTGCTCCAGAAGGTCTACATATTGATTTTGACTTTTAAATGTTCTTTTATAAATATTGTTATAGATTAATTTTAAATAATGTTTATTATAATCAAACTATTTAGCATACACTCCACCCCTTCTCTAAATTTTATTCCATTCTTTTTGTTTACCAGGAATATTTATTAAGATTGGTTTTATTCTCCTGTACCTTTCCTTTTAAGACATAATAGTACACATACTTATAACTGTAATTTTGTTTAACCAATTTTATCAACATAGCCCCTTTATGTCCCATATCTATTTCATATAACCCCTCTTTCGTTTTCTTATTTATATCATTGTTTTAAATATATTTTACCTTTTCTCCTACATACAGGGCTTCCACTACATGAACTTACCTCTTCTGTATACTCTTATATATTTTTTTTTCCCTCTAAATATGGCCACCAATACTAGACAATTCTACCACTCATGCTCCCTAACCAATATGACCACTGCAACTATTTGATAGGTCAGCGGTGGTTGACCATACCTTTTTTTTGCCGGCCTTCCTCTGTCTCTACTGCCTTTTTCTATTCCTTCACCCTTTGGTCGCTGAAACACACCCGGCGACCAAAGAGGTAATTACAAGACTCTGCAACTAATGGTGCGCACTGCCTATCTATGGCGGATTCCATTTCTCTTTGACTACATTACCCAGGGTTCATCGCGCATACTCACATGGCGCACGGCTGGAGTCACGCATTACATTACCTGTTTATTAAATACATTGTCTAAGGGTTTTAATCACTCACTTTTATATTTAATTAATTTTAAAACACTCAGACACATATAATGTTTTAACCCCTTAAGGACGGAGGGAGTTATATGCCAGTCTCCACTCCTTCAAAGAATCATTAAAAACCCACTTCTTCATAAAAGCATATCAATTAAACTGTTAATAGTTCACAACTGATTCCTCTCTTGCAACTGTCATTAGTCTTATACTATTCTTACCTTTTGTGTAACTTGACCCCACTCCCTCTAGCATGTAAGCTCATTGAGCAGGGCACTCAATCCCTCTGTTCCTGTGTGTCCAATATGTCTGGTTACAACTACATGTTTGTTCGTCCACCCACTGTAAAGCACTGCGGAATTTGTTGGTGCTATATAAATAATAACATAATAATCCTTAAGGGGGCAGCTCTAAAAGCCACAAGGCGCCATTGAACGTCCCCGCCATCCAGGGGACTTACCCAGTCATAGATGGGTTGCAAGCCTGAGGACTGCCTGGGAGCCCAGGCAGTCCCCATTTGGGCCAATCCAGCCGATCCGGCCCTCCCAAGAAGTTATGGCTTGTGCAGTGCTCCCAGGCAGTCCCCCTAATGCCTGCAAAAAAGTTTTAAAAAGTTAGTAAAATATACACACAATATCATTGCAATTTAATATTAATAAATATATAATTATATATATATATATATATAAATATTAAAATACACTTAGAATTATGTTAATATATATAAAATTGCCTTGGCGCTCACTCTTTTAGCAATATTAAACAAAAATCATACCTTGATCCAACCTCAGCATACAGATATATGGAAGTCATATGCCTGAAGTTGTGGGAGGGGTTATTTTCCTATTTAAATCCCCAGTAACCCCAGCTAACCTATCATCGCCGTTTGGAAGTTCCTGTTTCCTCTTCCGGTTTGCGCTGACCTCTGACGTCATTCCGCTCTGACATACTAACACAAACACAGCGTTCCCTCGTAAGTATAATCATACGAACGAAATACCCTTCGGCAAGTGGAAACTTCAAAAATTAGTAATTTCGGCTATACAAACACTTTTATTTCAGTTTCTCATAGTCATATCCCTTTCTTTCGTGAAAATAAAGTTCAGCATAATGGCACTCAAATGCATAATCCCTGTTCGGCTATTTTCCTCATTCGGCTTTCGTACTAACAAACGCCGAGTAATTCCATGCGTTCTCAGTTCTCATGGTGCCAGTCATTAATTACAGTACTGACAGGAAGTAAAACCCCTATGGTCTCTGCAACATGAAAGAGTTACATTAATTCCCTTGTAATGGCACGACTTCATTATGCGCTTTACAGTGGCAGCATGCGGAGAGAGCAAGCCCTAGCTAGGTCTGGTACATAGTACAAGCAATTAAGTTGAGTATGACTAGCAGGGGGTAGTGGGGGTGGAAATAAACTTTCCTAAGGGTTTTATTAGGTGCTTGGTCACATTATGAGCAGGATCTGCTGTTACAGTACTCATTTTATGCTGACTGTGCGTACCATAGTCTTTTTATCATTAACAGTACCTGTACTCTGCAGAGTCTAAACTATGCTATGCATTCTTAAAGGGACACCATGAAAATGATTTCCCTGTTATAATTTAATTACATTCAGAAATATAGTGTATTGAGCTCCATTGAGTGATCAAATTGAAAAAAAAAATTTTTTAACAAATTTCTCTCACTTTCCGCATTTGTAATCTCCTCCAATAAAATCACCTTGTTATCCTTCTAATCGCCCCATTAAATGTGTGTACTCTAGCTGCAGGGAGGTCCAGCCATAGATCAACTACTCTACCAGTTTAATAGCAGTCGCTGCCTCTGATTTAGCTTCTGGTGCTAATCTGAAAACATGGCCCTCTCCCTTCCCCCTCACTCCCTCCGGGAGTCATGGCTCAGCTAGATAAGTCGAGGTTCACAGCAAATGCCGCTGTCTGATAGATGGATCCAGGAGAGCAGTGCACAGAACGCAGGACACGGTTAATAATTATCACTCATTATTACGGATAGCTCTAAAACACAGGACACAACCAAGATGGAAACCGCCTTATTATTACCGCCAGCACAATGCTAACAAATGCTCCAAGATGCTTCTACATTCATTTATTCAGACAATGTAAATCACAACGAGATATATATTATTTATAACGTGCTAAGATGTAATGGTCGCACACATTGAAACGCACACCATTCGCACGCTCATTGAGGCGGAAGCATGAATTAAGGAGACATTGCTGGAGCAATACCAGGGCTGCAGATCCACCATGTTTTCGTGGACAAACAGCACGCCATCGTTCTGGAGGGGGACACCCAAAAAGAAAAAAAATTCAGTTCTCTCTCTGTCATCCTAATATGTGCACAATTTAGTCACAGGTTGTTATACATATAAACAGTTTTATCTAAAAACAGTATAAACGCAGATGCTCTGACTGTCATGCGCATCTTACATTCATCAACAGACGCTTTGAATAAGCACAGCTATACATACTTGACAATTACGCTTGCACATTATATTACTAAGCATATTTAAAGTTTTCTGATGTATTCAGCTTTGCATAGACTACCTACATTTAAGACCTATCATTGCCTGGTTACCATGACCGGTACGCCTCTGCGCAGACATGTACATGTGATTCTAAACGAGTGCATTAAGCTCGCACTCACGTTATCTGCAGTTCTAATAAGCAATCCTTTGCAAAGGCGATTACGCATTTTAAAATTACTATGAACAAGATCTACAACTATAGTGAAACATCAAAAAATAATAATAAATAAATAAATAAACAAATTAAAAAAAAAAAAATAGATCTGGCACTTACGAGCCCCGAGGGCCATACACACATACATACACGTATTCTAGTTCATACAGTTGCAAGAAAAAGTATGTGAACCCTTTGGAGTGATATGGATTTCTGCACAAATTGGTCATAAAATGTGATCTGACCATCATCTAAGTCACAACAATAGACAATCACAGTCTGCTTAAACTAATAACACACAAAGAATGAAATGTTGCCATGTTTTTATTGAACACACCATGTAAACATTCACAGTGCAGATGGAAAAAGTATGTGAACCCCTAGACTAATGACATCTCCAAGAGCTAATTGGAGTGAGATGTCAGCCAACTGGAGTCCAATCAATGAGATGAGATTGGGGGTGTTGGTTACAGCTGCCCTGCCCTATAAAAAACACACACCAGTTCTGGGTTTGTTTTTCACAAGAAGCATTGCCTAATGTGAATGATGCCTCACACAAAAGAGCTCTCAGAAGACCTACGATTAAGAATTGTTGACTTGCATAAAGCTGGAAAGGGTTATAAAAGTATTTCCAAAAGCCTTGCTTTTCCTCAGTCCACGATAAGACAAATTGTCTATAAATGGAGAAAGTTCAGCACTGCTGCTACTCTCCCTAGGAGTGGCCGTCCTGTAAAGATGATTGCAAGAGCACAGCACAGACTGCTCAATGAGGTGAAGAAGAATCCTAGAGTGTCAGCTAAAGACTTACAAAAGTCACTGGCAAATGCTAACATCCCTGTTAGCGAATCTACAATACGTAAAACACTAAACAAGAATGGATTTCATGGGAGGATACCACAGAGGAAGCCACTGCTGTCCAAACAAAACATTGCTGCATGTTTACAGTTTGCACAAGAGCACCTGGATGTTCCACAGCAGTACTGGCAAAATATTCTGTGGACAGATGAAACCAAAGTTGAGTTGTTTGGAAGAAACACACAACACTATGTGTGGCGAAAAAAAGGCACAGCACACCAACATCAAAACCTCATCCCAACTGTGAAGTATGGTGGTGGGGGCATCATGGTTTGGGGCTGCTTTGCTACATCAGGGCCTGGACTGATTGCTATCATTGAAGGAAAAATTAATTCTCAAGTTTATCAAGACATTTTGCAGGAGAACTTAAGGCCATCTGTCTACCAGCTGAAGCTCAACAGAAGATG